AGTTTGATATGACTTATGGATACACCATGGAATTGTTTGCGCATATTCCATTTTGTTCTTTAGGTATGACTTTCAAGCAAGTTACCCTTTCGGTCTGGAACTTTTCTGTGATAAAGTAGATGCTAAACTTAAGCAGTGAGTATAGCACAATACTTTCACCAACGGTTACTGATAACATTGGCTGTTCACAACAGCCCTGTCTGGCCTGAGATATTTCTTTTGGGGAAATACACTCTTTTAGGTAATATAAGAAAAAGTCTGCTTGGTCATGGTTACTTTCTCTTTCCAAATATTTTTTCAGTTTTGTCCGTTTGTCGTCTTTGAATTGGGGCATCATACTACCATTTGTTAGTGTGCTTCATCTCTTTTTCCCTTCTTTTTGTTTTGTTTTTCTAGTAGGTCGTTATGCACTCAGGGATGCCACTTTGGGGCTAGAGTTGAAAGACGAGTTCTTGGGCAGGAAGCATAAACTTTGGCAGAGAATCCCACCTTTTACTAGTGTACATATATGAAGAATTTCCCCAAAGACAACTCATACTGACAAAGAAGTTAGTGAGAGCAAGGAAGATGTGCATGCCACAAGGACTACAAAGGGAGCAAAGAATATTTCTTTCTGCTGGTGCTCTGGTTCCTTGCAAAATCAATTTTTTTTAGCATTTTGAATAAAGAACAACTCTTATGCTCAAGTCAAGTTTTACTTGGTACAGAAAGCGTTCACGATCATGAACGGTGGTCATGCAAAAAGGATTATCCAATTCTCAGTGGGGCATTTCAGCATCCGTGTATGTTTGTTTGACTTCTGCGGGATGATGCAAATTGTGCAGGAACATTCCTAGCTTGTTGCGCAAAATAAGGCGCCTTCTAGTGTTGGATGGGCTGGGCGAATAATTGGGATGGCGATGTGCAGAGAACGTCAGATAATTGTCTTGTCGTCAATTGAAAGGCACAACAGCTAAGGAGGTCCTTCGAACACAACGAAGTATGTAAATCTAGTCAGCAAATGTTCAGCATGGTGGTTTAGGGAGATAATTGCACGTTCTACAAAGAGAGCTTACTTTTCAACTTGTTTTTATGAGATAACCTTGCATTTCATCCAACTGAATATTCTGCAATTACCGAAAAAGGCTTTCGCCTCGCTTTATAAATAAAGCAACCACGAAGCACAAAGTATCAAGGTAACAACAGAACACACCACACATCAACACAACGCCACCGCAGACAAGGTCCAACACTCACACACACAAACACAAATAGACCCAAGTTCCTCTGTGGGCACAGCACAACAAGCCCAACATAGATGCACGACGAAACACCCCTAGACGGCGGTGGCGGAGGCGTGAAGACGACGATCTAATCTGGTTCCGGTGGTGGCGGGGGAAGCGGTGGCGCCAACCGGAGAGCCATCGCAATTACAAATGGTGAATTGTTGTATGTTCCTGTTATTCCTCTGTTTAGACCTCCTTTAGTTTGGAGGAATCTTGTAGGATTTTTAGAGGATAGGATTTTTATAGGAAAAATTCCTATGAAGCCCTTTGATTTGTAGGAATGAATTCCTATTCCTATATAGGATAGGAATCAATCCTTCACATTTTAAAGAAAAAAATATTAGCCTAGACTCAATGGAAAAAATCCTATCCTATGAATCAAGTGACATCTCTTTCCCTATAGGAAGTGAGATGCATGCCACCTTACTTCCTATAATTTTCCTATTCCTATGATATTCCTATGAAGTACCACTCTTTTGAGAGCAGTGATTCGGTGTGCAGGCTCATCTGCACCTGCGATAAAGAAAAAAAACTCAAAACAAATATTCAAAATATTTTTTGCATGGTAGATAATTTGGTGCGTGAGGTGTGTCCTAAATTTCACATCATTTGGACATCTGAGTAGCTTTCGACAAAAAAGACAAATTTTGGGTCTGTAAAAAAGTTTACTTGTTCATGTATTGTTAACGCACTCTTTTGCGTTAATGTGGAACTTAAAAAGATCTCAGCATCTTAATCAGACGCACATTTTGTACAAAAGTAGCAAAATTTGGAATAAGCAGATTTGCTTTAGTTTAAATATATTGGTAGGAATAGGCGACTACAGTCTGCAAAGTCATGTTTGGACCTTTCTAAAACTGCAACATGTTTGAGTCTACAATTTCATGTGTTTCGGGACCAAGCTGAGGGGGCTTTGCTGTTGGGTATGAAGATTAACTAATCCAAGAGCGAGGTTGTAACCCTGGCGGTGCAACACACTGATGTCGTTTGGGTCATGATTTTGCTCAATTGTTGGCTCATCAACTCCCCTATCACATACCCGGCCTCCCAGCCTCCGACAAATATCTCATCAGCTTTGACTGGGACCCAACTGTATGTAAGTTATCAAGTGTGGCAAAGGCAAGATTATGTCTTCTGAGCGAGACTTACACTTGCCAATGCTTATGTATAAGCTAATCCCTCTTTCTCCATGGGGCTATTTCTGTTGGGAGATGAGACCCATCGTCAGCTTGCCAAAGTTCTTGTGCACTTATTTTGGGAAGCGAGACGCCTCCAAACAGAAGTATCTCATGGTCAAATGGCAGACTTATGTAAACCTAAATGCAAGGGCGGCTTGAGGATTACAAATTCGAGGAAGATGAACCTACCATTGCTTAAGAAACGAATATGGAAGACTTTGAAAAACGAAGATAGTCTATGGGCTCAGATCCTCAAGGCGAAGTACTTCCCCAACTCAATTGTCTGTGCAGCGAAAAAGAGTGGTTCTCAATTATGGAAAGGAATCCACAAATGACCTATACATTTTCCTTGTGAGTGCTAAGTTTGAAGTGGGTAACGGCGCCAACACCAAATTTTGGTTATCCAAGTGGGCGCTTAACCTTCGCTTGTTTTCCAAATACCAAGATCTCTTTTCTTGTTGGCTCAGATCCCGACATCATGGTTCAAAATGTGTTTCTAAATGGCAACCCCAACATTACTTTCAAATGAAATCTTGCCTCCATAGTGAGATCATCGTGGGAGACGCTTCTTTGGGATTTGGGGCCCTGTCAATTGTCTAACAACAGGGATGTCATTACTTGGAATCTTGAAGCTTTGGGTAACTTCTCAGTCAAATCAACTTATGTGAAACTATTTCCCAGGTCTCGGATCTGCTTTGCTAAAGCATTGTGGGCTACTACTGTTCCTCTCAACATTTGGGTCTTCCTCTAGCAGGATGCCAGAGATCGTCTCCCCACCGTTATCAACCTTCAAAAGCGCCACACCCTTGGGAACGACATGTGTGCCCTGCGTGAAGATCTTGAAGACGGCAACCACATCTTCCATTGTGCTCCAGCTAGATTCTTACGGAGTTGCGTTTGAGAGTGCTTCAGTTAATGACATTCTATTGTTACTAGCTAGTAGTCACGGGCAACATCGTAGCCTAGCCTACCGTGCTTTTGTGGCTTTAATCCGAGCCTTGTGGACTTGCCGTAACAAAACTGTGATGAGAGGAAAAATTCCAAGCCAACCTGTTGACTATATCTTCAAATAGTCTCTGTTTGTTTAGCAGTGCAGCCCGTTGGGCAAAAAGAAGGATACTGCGTAAGCTAGGACAGTCTTGTCCAAGATCAAGGGCTTCCACGTGATCAGTAGAAACAACGCCGCCTGACTTGTGCTCCTCTAGATTTCTATTTGATGCTTACTTGTTTTGAGCTGTCATGTTTACCTTTGGTTGTTCTGTAATATGAACTTTATTTATATGACGTTGGCGTTATTTGTTTTATTAGTTTAAAGTCAGGTACATATTGTGCCTTTTATCTAAAAAGATGTTTGAGTGGACGAAAAAAAAATTTGCGGAACTAAGTGCAAAGGAACCTACAGAAAAGTTCCTAAAAATCCAATATTGTGAATACAATGACCTCCGATAGGAAAAATTCCAAGGATTCGAGCACTTCAAAACCCTTTGAAATCCCTTTTGAGTTAGAGGATCCCTTAGTTTAGAAGAGTAGGGTCATCATCAAGATGAAATACCAATGACAATATAATGGCAGATATACATGGACTCTCTCTCTCTCTCTCTCTCTCTCTCTCTCTC